GTGGCGAGCGACAGGAAGATGGGGAGAGGGTGCCGAAGGGAACACATATTTCACGCTGTAATTTACTGCAAACATAGCCAGCCGTGTGGCCATCAGTCAGAGGGCTAGTGAGGCGGGGATGGGCGCTCGAGCGGCCTCGGATGGATGCCATGGCAGGCACAGGGTCAGAGCATGAGCCCGCTGCAGCTGGCTCCGGCCCCCGGCCCCGCCCCCCGGCCTGCCCCCTCCCCTGGGCCGCCGGTTAATAGGCCAGAGCAGGCAGGCGCAGGCATTACCAGGCGGAAGGAACATGGCCCCCAGGAGCAGCAGGAAACATGCGGCTCCAATTTACAGTCGTGTTCTGGGCGCAGGCAACGGGAGGGGGAACCGAGTGGGCCACCTCCCGGATGGGGGAACTGGGGGTCTTCTCTGCACCCGGACACGTTGGATGGGGGGTGAGGCAGCCACCTCGCCAGCATGGGGGGCACGCAGACCAGGGCTGCTCCCCACGGGGCCTGGGAGAAACGAAGGATGCCGGAGTCGGGGGCGTTGGCAGGCAGGCAACAGCGACAGCTGGCCGCAAACCAGTTAAGTGCACCCCGGCTCCCGGCCTTCACACTCCGCTTTAAATATCTCTCGCTCTGTTTAATCCGCAGTCAACTTTTCCGCCTTGCGGGGTGGCTCTGAAAAGCTTGGAATTGCAATTCCTCCAGCGAGGCGGGGAGGGGGAGCAGGAGCAGGGCCGTGGAGGAGGCGGGGCGCCTTGCGACCTAATCTGACAAGGCATCTGGCTTGTAGGACTAATTCGAGTTCCGACCTCTGAAGGCCACGGGGGCCCACAGCTGCCCCTCGAGGGCGCAGGGCGGCCTTTGATCTTCCCCATCAGTAATATCCTGCACAGCCTGCTGGATGGCGCTCTGGGGGGGCAGGCAGCTAGGTGGGCTCAGAGAGCTACAACTCAAGGCCAGGTTCGAAGGGAGGAGGGGGTGTCCTGGGCACCCCCAACACCCCAGGTTAGCCCCTCCAAGCAGGTCGAGAAAGGCAGAGGGCTGTCCCTACCCACCCCCCATCTGTGAATCTGGTCCCACCTGGGCCTCCCAACTCTCAAGGTCATTGGGGGTAAGGTGAGTATTTTAGGGAGTGAGGGGTCGTGGTTGCTTAACTGCTGACAGACAGCCAAGAAGGCCCGGGGCAGCCCCACCCTGCCGCGCGGGGCCCATGTGAGCAGAGAACCAACTGAACAGCACGGGAGCCTGGCTAGTGAGGTGTCAGAGGACGGTCCCCAGGAGGGCTGTGAGCCATGACCTTGTACGAGAGCACACCCACCCCACACACCCTTATCATGCCGTCAACGACGCCCCAGAATGCAACACCAGCAGGGTCACGGGGGCGGAGCGTCCAGGGAGAAGGGCCTGGCAGCACAACCAGTGTTGACAACAGAATTCAGGGCAGGTGGGGCTGCAGAGGACAGCGCTCCAAGCTCGCGCACCAAGGAGGGTGACAGCACACAGAAGGGCGCTCCGGGGATCAGTCCCTGCTGACCAGCAGTGACCATGGCCACCAGGACAAAACACAGATGGTATCGAGGTCTGAATCCCTGCAGCTAGCTGTGTGGCAGCGAGTGGGCTCCGTCCCTCAGGGGCACCCTCGGGGCCCTGCTCTAGCTTCAGGTCCCTGGAAGAAGTCTCAGACCCTCTTTAAGGGGAGCCTGGGTGACCCCGGAGTATACTGCCCCACTCCTCTCTGTGGATCACCACCGGGCCTCTGGGAAGCACGGGGCCGGTAATCAACAACAACAAAGCGGGCCTAGGCCACTGGACCCTGCATGCTGGCTCCTCTCCCCCAGCCTCCTGGCGACATCAAGAAAGCAAGGCTTGCAGGGACCACTGGCCACCCAGCCGAGTGTCTTCACAGATTGGGCTGCATGACTGTTTTCTCTCCCTTGTGGAAACTAACCCACATGGCTGCTCGTGGGTTATATACACCCCACACTGGCAGTGCAGCCTCCCACAGACCTGTGTACCCCACGGTTCGTTCATCATCACCAGGCTCACCCACTGCTGTGCCTAGTGACGCAGCCAGCACCCTGGGCCCAGGCCCTGCAGCAAGCCTGCTTCAGAGCGCAGCACAGCACCTACAGGAACCCTCCGGGACACAAGACGGCTAGGAAGCCGCCCAACTGTACTGGGGCAGATAGCCAAGCCTTTCTCTTCCGACAGCCAGGGGATTCAAACCACCAACCTCTCCGTTAGCCTGACAAAGATTAACCCACTGTGGCAGTGGGGTGAGCAGGGCTGGTTTGGTGTTCTGCTGGATAACCTTACGAGAGAGCATTCCTGCCCTGTGTGCTATGCCCTGGGAGTGGAGCGCCCTACAGTGGTTGCTAGTAACGCTGTATGGTCGTCAGCCGTCATTGCAACCTCCCACCTCTATGAGCCCCAGTCCCTGTCCCTGTGGATCTGCAGGAAACCACATTACCTGTCTGCACCACCACCAGGCCTGCATCCATGAATTTAGCTGGCCACTGTCGAGCCCATTCTAACTCGCAGATACCCTGGAGGGCAGAGCAGAACTGCTGCCCAGGGTCTCCGAGCCTGTCCCTCAACACGAGCATACAGCCTCAGCTTTCTCCCACCGAGTGTGCCTGGCTGGCTAGAACTCCCAACCTTGTGGTGGGCATTCCAGCGCTTAAGTCGCTGTGCCACCAGGGCCCCCGTGTCCCCACACTGGCAGCGTCATCCCCAGAAAGAGAGGCGAACATCAAAGCCGGTCTAGGTCAGGGGCGCTGACGAGAGCGCTGTCCAGGACGTGCTGGGTCCCAGGCCCCAGGGCACAAGGCACAGAGCAGCCGGTGGGGTGATACCGCTGCAGCCATTAGTCAGAGCGCATCCTAGGGACCACCCAAGGGCTGAGAGAGGTGAGGACACCCTCTCTCCCCTGGGCTCCATGCTGTCTGTGGCAGGGG